TTGCAGCAGCTACAGCACTTAGTATGTTAAAACTAGCAAAACTAATTCTCAAATTTGTAGCGATCAAATTTTGAAAGTCACACAAAAGTATACAACTTTAATAAAAGAGCACCTTTAATTTAAATCAGATACTATATCAAATACTATAAAAGTTCAAGAAAATCCAGTTCTCCAATGGAAGATGTTTTTTGAATAATTTTGGCAGCAGAAAAATTGAAAGTGTGATTTTCGGACCAACAACGTTGACAACAGACTTCTGTGTTTCCTTTTTTCTAACATATGCCTCATGTTCCTTGATGTGAAATTTTAAGGCTGTCTTAGTTTGTCCAGCGTAAATTAAACCACACTGGCAAGGAATCCTATAAATACCACAGGAATTTCTATCCGGAATGGGGTCCTTGAGTATGGAATTCGGAATTTTATTGATGGGAGAATAAACGACCCAAAAGTTAAATTTCTGCAAAATATGTGCAACTTTATAGCTAATTGATGGAAAGAAGGGAATGACAACAGAATTTTTATAATCTCCTAAAACAAGAGTGTGCCTTTTAGTGTGTTGAAATGAGAATTTTTTAACTGCTTGATTAATAATGTTGGGTGAAAAGCCCCTGTCAACAGCTATTGCTTTTAAATAATTTAGTTCTTTTCTTCATCAAGGGATAGTTTGGAGGAAGAAACTTGAAGAGCACGGAAAACATAGAAATAAAATGAAACTAACTTTCGTTTAGTTGGATGACATGATTTAAAGTGTGGTGGAAGGTAAACCGTAGTACTGAAGTTGGATGTGTTACGTGTGACCAGAATGTAGAGAAACGGAAGAGAATTGCAAGTCTCAAGTTCAAAAGTGAACTGAATAGCAGGATCAATAGAATTCATTGTTGAAAGAACTTTATTTAAATCACCTTTATTACCTTCAAACAGGGAAAAAGTATCATCTACATAGTGGAACCATACCGGGAAGCTTAAAGTTTCAAACAATTTTGATTCATAATAATGCATGTAGACATCAGCCAGGATAGGACTGATGGGGCTTCCCATGGCTAATCTCTCAGTTTGCTTGTAATATTTATTTTGGAAAGCAAAATGTGTTTTGTTTCAAACAGAATTGAGTGAGAGAAATTAGCTCATCAATTTCGATGCAAGAGAAATGAAATACACAAAGTCTGGTTTCTAGATATCTTAATGCACCCTCCACTGGAACACTGAATAATGATTTTACATCAAAAGAAACCATGAGTAAATTTCTAGGAGAAATGTTTTTAACCTTTTTTACAAACTCTACTGAATTTTTTATGGTGTAAATGTTATTATCTAATAGATTTGAAAATCTAGAAACTAAATATTTAGCTAATGGATACGAGGCAGTACCTAAATTTGATACAATACGGTGAAAAGGAATACAGTCAAATACCGAAAATCGGCCGAAAATCCACCAACTCCTGAAATTCGCATTGCCTCTCAAAATATAAACATTCAGTTTATAGGTTCACAACATTGAGTACGAAATATCGAAAAAATACTTACCGAATAATGACGTCATAATTACCGAATAATAATGAGTATATTGGAAATACCAAATTATTGACATCATGATATAAGTTTTTTCTCCTCTAATCTGCATCGAGGTAAGAAAGCAGACGATTCACTCAACTCTTCTTTCAAGTTCACAATTCATGTTGTTGTATTTTCTAAGCTTTACTATTTCATGAGATTATGTAGTGCTGCCTTTTTTTTTATCCAGATATTTTGTGGATAAATTAAGAATATTTTAAATTTAAGCCCTTTTTAATATAATTACAGATAAGAAATGCACTCATGATTTTACTGTTTGCAACGTTGAGAAACGTAAACACGTTGCATTCATGGTAATGCAAAAAGTGCAAATTCTGAAAAAAATGGAGATAGGTGCATTTTATAGCAGAATCGTATGGAAATGCGATACGATTGTGTATGATATACGGAAAAATAAAGAAAAGTTGTTGAAATTTTACAGCAACAGTGATTCTAACACCGGAATCCGAAACCGGAAATCTTTGCATGAGGCGAAATCGGCAAACCTCAATGCTGTGTATATATAATACAATGAATAATATAATCAATTTATATATTGTAATAATAATTTAAAGCATATAATAAGTTATTGCAATAATGTATATAATAATTTAATTAAATGCATCTAATACGCCTTATTTATTTTGCACTTTTAGTCTGAATATTATGATTTATTTTTTCTCTCCTGAAATCTGCAAAATCCTAAAATCCACAAAACTTCTGGTCCCAAGCTTTGTGAATTTCTGGACTTCTACTGTACCACCTTTATGAATTTTGGGAGAGCATATAATCTGGCACAATTCACAACAGATGGGATAAGCGAATGTTCTAAGTTGCTTGAAATGATTTGTGAAGATTTGATCGCAGTTTTTATTTTTGACAGGTCCGAAGGTGAAGGATCTTTAGGGATCAGCTTATATGGTCCTTCATTTAAGAGTTTAGTAACACCATCGATGTAAGTGTTCTTAACCATGACGACTATCTGGCCACCTTTGTCGACCTTTGAAATGATAATATCCAGGTTAGAATGAATTTCGCACATTGTAGCTCTTTCTCTCACATTAGATCACTAGATTTGATTTCAAAGGTTTATTATTGAATTTAACATTATGAGCGATAAGATGCCTAATAATTTCTTTCTGTGAATCTGAAACTTTACTGAACTTGAAAGCTTTTCCGATAGGAGCCAAAATCTTTGGAATCGAGGGTTTACAGGTTTGTGAGAAGTTAAAATTATAGTTTGGAATTCTCTCTTGTTCTTCTGATAAACTAACATTAGAAATATTAACTATTGGCTTAATGTTTACAATGGGAAGATTTTTTTGAACTACTTGAACTGGAAGACTGTAAAAGAAGTTTTTCGAATTTAACTGCAAGGGTGTTTTTATGACGATTAACTGCATTCTCCATTCTAGACCAAGACAGTGAATTTTGTATATCAATTAGCGAGTTCCAGATGAAGCTTATAGAGCTCATGTTCAATTTTTGGAAATGTTATATTCTTTGAAGACTGCTACAGCTTCATTGCATATGAGACACACTGGTTTATTTTTATACAACTGTAAAAAATATTTTCAGGTTCATTGATCATTAAAGGCACGACACTCATATCAACTTTATGTTTTTAGTACCCATTTTGGGGTTGAAATATTTTACGAATAACCCAAACAAGCACTATCTATGCTATACTTTTAATAATTTTTCCACTATTTACAATGATGCAATATGTCCGCAATCTTTCCATACACAATCAATAATATTAGAACTCATGCCAAAAAGAAAAAGCCGCTGGCTGGATCTTAAAATCTTCCATATGTGAGGTCTAATTCACCTATATTGGATTTCTACATGTATGCTCCTTGAGAAAGAAATAACGCTTGTTGGCGCCAATCTACAGCTATAACTAATACAGAACTTCTGCTTTTAACACTTTACCGATTGAAAGCTGTGTTTGATATTTCCATCGATTTATGTTTTGTAGAACAAAAATAGAGAAAGTAAAAAGATCATCAGTCCTTTGAAAAAAGGAAAAATTAATATTTAAACAAAGTAGAAAAGGAGATGGATATATAATATAAATATTTCTTTTAATCTGCCTCAGACCGACAAATTAGAATTCCATCCGGTGGGCCGAATTTGGCCCGAGGGCCGTAGTTTGCCCATTCCTGCCTTATCTTTTACTCAGTTTACACTGAGGACATTTTTAACCAGACATTTATATTTCTTGAGGGCAAATGTATCTCTATTAATAATAAAAATCTCTTGCAGCCTGGGCTAGAGCCACCACATGAAAATGATCAAGAAGTCACAGATAAGAATATTTGGTAAGTATTACAACATTAATGCTCTCCAAACATTTTACAAAAAAAAAAAAAAAAAAAATAGACCCCGACTGGTTACAGTCTATATAACATAGTGTCTAGGAGTGTCATTCAGGCTGGAAACAAGAACACTCAAGCCTGAACCCCCGACCTGGTCCTTATTTCTTTGATGCACTGGAAATGGTACAGGACATTTTGATGCACTGGAACTGGGAACACATTTTTATTAAATATATTTGCTAGCTGAGATTCACCAAAGTGAGAATGCTTTAGCTGTGGTAGCTTTGGGGGTCACATCAACTCTTTTAGCAGGTAATTAAGCAATGCATACAGCTTTGAAAAAAAAAAAAAAACACTGAATCTGCGAGTTTCAAAACAATTTATTGCACCATAAACAAAAGCTTCAGTCAAGCAGAAATGCTTACGCAGTGCAAGCTTATAGTTTAGAATGAATGCACCAAGATGCACAAAAGGGCACTAGAAGCCCTTGAGCGGTAAGACATGCACAGAAATGCTTGGCAGATGAAATGGGACTGCCGTCTTCCTAGCAAGAGATTTTCAACAAACCTTGCCTGTGATTCCCCATACACTGCGAAAAAAAAGCATTCTCACACTGCCAGTGGATAAACTTAATGCCTGCTTTATGGAGTCATTGGTCTTATGGATACAGGTGTACACAATAGATTTCAAGATTACTATGAGGGTATACTTACAAGCAGAAACAAATACAGAACAGTTTGCATAACAATTGCTGTCACATGGCAATGAAAAATATCGTATTGACCTCACTGCTGGTTTAATTTAATTTCCCTCAAATTTTTGCAATATGGCAAAATCACTCAATGATATAACAGCTAAAGTGTTTTTGGATGTACAGGAAAATTACTTGACAATTAGAATTCTAAATTGCAACATTAAAAAATAAATTTTCTTTCATTTGTTAGTTTATAGCTCCCAAATATAGTCTAATAATAAAGCAAAATGGTAACTTTCAGCTTTTATGTTAATGATATCTTTTAATTAAACAAAGGGTAGGAATACTAATGAGAAACTGATGTCTTTAGAGGTACACATATTTTTCAGTTCTAAGTTTCACGTTAACTAATTATGCAGTATAATAAAATTTACTTCAAAATTTCTGGATCCACACCTTCAGCCTGCATTTTCAATTGGACAGCACCAACAGGCACACCCTAAAAAATGAATTTTAATTAATAAATATACAGAGAGAGAGAAAGAAAAATTTATTATCAACCTTTAAAGAGTTTAATTGCAGTTGTATACTAACTTTAATCAGTCATTGGATAACTTTTTTTAAAAGAAAGAATGCAGAGTAGAGAATATATACACTTTTAGGAAAATAAAAACTAATATACCATGCTTTATTATAAATAAGAATTAATCGACTTAAGCTGCTGAATTCATTCATCAGTTAATAAGCTTCAGGTATGTGTTTGAGAAGAGAAAATTTGGAAAAAATACATATATATTTAGAACTATTAAGAATATAAGGAAGCATTTTTTACCATTATGAATTATAGCTTGTCTTTTTATTCTTTACACACATTTTGAAGACACAATAATTAAAAGCATTAGTAATAAACAAAATAACCAAATACTGTTATTTAAATTTTTGACAATAAAATAGATTTTAAAACAAATTTTTCAAATTAATATGAAGTAATAAATTAAATATCACAAATGATAAATTAAATATCATTACATAAAATAATCAGATTAAAGCAGTTCCTAATAACTGTTCTAGTCTTAAGTTTATACTTTGCGAGTTATCAGTACTACCTACTAAAGGAAATACAGTAATTAGAGCTTTTAATGATGCTTTAAAATAATGTAATGAAACAGCATAAGTGAAATAAATCAGCCAGCATTAAAACAAAACTGGAAAACTGAAAGAATATGGAGAAAATGTCTTAAAATTATTTAGATAGCAACAAAACTTTAAAAACATTAGAATCTGCCCTTAAGGCTTATATTTAGTCTTTTCCTGTTCACATTTGAAATTTCACAACATTTTTTTAAGGATGTCAATCATTATCTTTAAGAATTACTATTTTCATGCAAGATACAAAATATTAAAAAACTTTCAAAAAATGTACTTGAATGAACTAAAAATGCTTAAGAGAAATAGCTGAGGCAGTTCACTGCTTCATTAGTTTAATAGTAGTAGTAGTAGTAGTTATTAGTTATTTCAGTAATTTTAATACACTGCTAAGCAAAGTTATGCTTAAACTAAGAATTAGCGGCGTAGCTACGGAAGAGCAAGGGAGGTCATCTGTCCATGGGCACAGCATCCAGACGGCACCAAATTGCTGTGAATAAAATGCTTTCCATTCTTGGGCTTGCAAACAAGGGAGCACAGAAATTACAGATATTCCTGGTCACTGAAAACCCTAGCTACGGTTCTGCAAGGAATTAAACATCACAGACTAGAGATTTTCAAGGTTAGTAACCATAGTAATTTCTATATAAAGTCTGTAAACCAGAAGTGTTATTGTTATTCTTACATATTAAATTTCTGTTTTTAAATAAATGTAAAATACAGTATATTATGCAGATTAAGTTACTATAACATTATATTTTTTAAATGAGGAATTTTTACATTAATAAGATTATTTGTTGATTTTTGTGATCATATTGAGATCGTCAGAAAACACCAAAGTATCATTCCTTGAAAACAGTTTGAACCCTTATCCTGTGCAATTAAAAAAAAAAATCATTTGCAAAATTCTATTGTCATACTTATTATTAGAAAAACTTAGCTAAAGTTATATTTTATCAATAAATACAACAACTCATTCTACTGCCTTTTGAGCACAAGACAATGCACAGTGTTACAACTCGAATACGAAATGAGCGAAAGTTTCTCTTCTGCCAATGACAACGAGGAGTCAAAAAACAAACATGGAAGAGAGCGGTCGCACACTCGGTTTCATACGAAGGGGGGATAATCCCCCATCTTTTGATTTGAAATTAATCTTGAATTATGTATATATTGTAATATAAAAGATGTGTGTAAATAAAAGTCATTAAGACTTAATTCAATAGTGATTTCAGTAGTGATTTGAATCGAATATACAAATCGAAAGTTCTCCCAAATAGAACTATGAATTATGTTTAAATTTTACTGACCGATTGCTCTCGCACAGAATTCTTAGTGTGCTACCATCTTAAAAAATGGTGGCACACTGTTATCTTTACAAACAAGTTCACGAATTTCAGTTGGAGAACGGATAGTCAGAAATAATTTAATTTTCTTCGGTTAAGAATTCTTAAAAATATTTATAAGAATATTCCTTCATTAACAATTTTAATTTTTTTATCATGCATAAATGTTCTCATCATGAAATTATAATTAATGATGAGGGGCCTATTTTATGTCTATTTTTGACAAATTCTTCCTTTTGATGATTAAACTGATATAATCACATTAATGAGAAAACACTGAAACTTACCATATTTATCATTTTGAAATACTTTGCATAGCGTGGATCTTGTGAAACAGTTTTTACTGGTTTCTGTGGCTCAGTAGATGGAGGAGGAGGAGGAGGAGCAGTCTGATCTGCATTGGGCGTGGATTGAATAGTGGATGGCTCAGGAATGTTAGCTTCATTTTGTTGAGGACTAGAAACCGTTTCTGAAGGTTCAGCATCAGACACATCATCCAAACCTGGTATTGATGCTAACTGTAAACCAAGTAACAAATTACACAAATGAGATACCAAATCATTTAAATAATCAGAATAAACAATGCATTCAATATTTTACTTTGACACTTATATCTACTTATACTTGAAATCTTACTATTTTAACTTCATCAACTTAAATATGGATTATAATGTTGCATGTTTACATAATGGATTGAATGCACACAGAATTGATGATGGTTTGATGGAATTTATTGTCCCAAAAGAAACACTTTACAGTTCTGAAACTTTCCACAAAAATACTCATATAGCTCTTTTCAGTATCAAAGTACAATCAGTAGTAACAAACTACTAAGGACATTAAACAGACCACAATGCAAAGTTCTCATGGAGATTTCTCAATACTCCACAGGCTACTCTGAACTAAAAAGCTGAGAAGTGATGCTCTCTCCGGTCTTGCATAATTTTCCCCTGCTTGCAGGAAATCTCCAGTACTTTCAGTTTCTCGAAATTACTGGAGGCATATATGGTTAAAGTTACATATAAGGACTGGATATGATTACAATTACATATAGGAATAAAGTACAGTACCAATTAAAGTTATACAGGGACTGGACCAAAATGTCGCCGAGTTTGGTGACTTTTGGTCATTTCTCACCAAATTTGACAACAAAAATCAGTTGCAAAAACCATCACAAACTCGACGCGGCCTTAGCTCAACTATATATTCGGATAACGCTACCAACTTTGTCAACTAGCCAACTCCGATATGAAAAGGCTGTTAAACCTCGCCAAAAGTCCCCCTAGTCTGTCATATTTAGCTTCTGAATCAATCATTTGGAAATTCAATCCACTGCATTCTCCCAACTTCGGTGGTATTTATGAGGCCGGGGTGAAATCCTTTAAACACCATCTAAAACGAACTACCGGAAATGCAAAATTGACTCTTGAAGAATTTTTGACTGTTATAAATCAAATTGAAGGTATATTAAATAGTAGACTTTTACCTTCAGATCCAAATGATTTTGAAACTTAGACCCCCTGAACATTTTTTAATCGGAAGACCTTTTAATGCTCTACCTGAACCTTGTATAACAGAAATTCAAACAATAGACTTTCCCGCTGGCAGAAAATTGTCAAAATTAACCAAATAATATGGAAGAAATGGTCCAGAGATTATCTAAACAGTCTTCAACAGAGAAGCAAATGGTTCTTTCAAAAGGAGAATATAAAAACAGGTACTCTTGTATTAGTTAAAGAGGATAAACTACCTCTATGTATGTGAATAGTAGGCCGTATCTACAACACCATCCCTGGAAGCAATGGCAAAATCCATGTTGTTGTTATCAAAACGTCTCAAGGACTGATCAAACGTGGAATATCGAACCTATGTATTCTACCTATGAACGACTGACGTAGTGAATTTATATTAAAATTACTTGTATTAATATTGCATACCTATTTTATTGTAAAATGTAGTAATTTGTTTAATGGATAGATTATTGCATTTAATTGTTTCGAACTGATAAATGTATCTAACTTTGAATTCTACGTTAGATTTGAAATTAGTATCTCAATGCCAGGCGAGATGTTGGCGACTGATCGTCTGTTATACGAAAACTTTTTCCTCTACCGTAGTTGCCTAGCAATCTTGTATCGCACATGCGTCAATATTGTTTGGGTATTGTATTTCTTGTTGTTAGCTGGTTTGATGAATTTTGTTTTTGTTTGGATTTTGAATGACTGCTAATTGAGTGGTTATTTTTCAAATAAAATAAAAGATGAATTTAAAGGGAAATCAGTTTCGTAATTTTGAACTACAGTCCAAAACAACAACCAAAATGGTGTTTTCTAAAAGCAACAACCAAAAGCATTTTATGCATTAGCTTTATTTATTAAATATCACGTTCTTTATTCTTAAATTACATAAAATTCAATTCAACAGCAATATCACAAAATATTTTAGAATTTTTTATACATAATCTCGCACGTTGGGGATAAATTGATACTGAAAAATTGTTTATTTCTCCTTTTTGAATATAAGATTTGGGATCTTGATTCCGTTATGGGCTCCTGAGCAAACCAGTGTGCTGGGGCCCCTACAATAACAGCTCACCAAAGAAAGATGTAAATGAAGTATTAGGTGACTCTTGTACTTGCATGCCCCCTGGGACAAATGCCCAAAGGGTCCATGTGTTAAGATGGCCCTGGTCTTGATGCAAACTTTTATTGTTCTTTTAGTTAGGTCAAAACAGATTAAACCATACAGGCAAGATATGCTACAATTTCCTCCAAGAATTAAAACTAAAAATGGGATAATTAAGAATAAAACCCATTTTGGCTAATCTTTGGAATATGGTAACAGGTAGTTTGGTGAGATTTTGGTAAGGCGATAAAGGTTACTAGCTAGGACTTTAGCAGTGTACATGGATAAAGTCAAGAGTGTGCGCAATGCCATGTTTGCGCAATTCTGGGATGTTTTTTCAAGTGAAAATAGGTCGACGTGTACATGGATGATACCGTGTATGTGCAATTCTTATAAACGCGGCAAGCAGTGGGCGATTCTGTACTTTCTCCTAATTTCGCACCTAATCTTCGTCACAATTAAGCCCTTTTGTTCCATGAAAGTTCTAGCATAAGCGTAATTCGGCTAGCAGATTGTTAGAAAAAAATTTTGAGTAAAAAAAAAAAAAAAAAAAAAAGGCCTTTACTTTGTGAAAACAAAATGGCATCCAAAAAAAAAAAACTAGCAGGTTGCTGTAGCAGGGTTGGTTGCCAAAAAATTGCCAAGTTACCATAATGCAAAGCTTAAACCAAATTTTAATTATACGTCAGAAAATAATATGAAAGTTGAACTTCTGGAGAATCCAAGCAAATTTGCAAATGATAGAGTAATTAAAAGGATTATGGGCTAATCTTTGGAATATAGTAACAGGTAGTTTGGCAACATTTTGGTAGGCGATAAAGGTTACTAGGGAATAATGTGAGAAGTACTCAGTTCCGATTACGCATTATTTTGTGTGAGGGAAATGAGAGATCATGAGATATATCATGTGACATTAATGGACGAATTACGTTCTTTAATCGGAAAAAAGGGGGAAATCTGGAAATTTTGTATTTAGTTTATTCTGTGTTGTGTGAAAACAGTGTTGGTTAATTTTTGGATCCCATGGCCCTATCTAAAGTGAATTCGAAATGGGTATTTAGTGGGATTGAAAGGGGTAGTAATAAGTGTTTTTTAAGGTTGTGCAAGATAGAAGTAAAGATTGCTTATTAAGTTTTATTAAGTTATTTATTCTACCTCGTACAATAATAATATCTGATTGCTGGAAGTCATATGTCTGTTTGGAGGATGAAGGTTTTCAACATCTTGCTGTGAATTATAAGTATGATTTTAAAGATCCTGAACAAGTGCACATACGATTACTTTTATTTAGAGAGGGAATAAGAAAGTTTATCCGCCCCTTTCAGATCTGAAGAGATTAGGTAAGTTAGTATTTTAATTTAGTTTTTATTTTTTTATGCATTGTTCGAATGTAAGGAGTAAATAATTTAACATGATTTTGGAAAATTTATTGCAATGATTTAGTTAAATTATGATTGTAAGCTCATTTTATTTATTATATTTAATAAATGATCGTTATTTTGGATATATGTTTGTAACAATTTGGTATACTTTCAGTGAATAACCGTGCATGTAATAATTTAAATATTTGCACTAGTAGTTGCAACCATTTTAATGTTTCCGTTAAATTCATTGGTGACGTTTATAAAGTAATTCCAGTAAAAGTTTTTCGACCTTTATTATTTATATGTGCAAATGTTCATCTGGAAGGGTATCTTTTTCGCGATCAGGTAATTTCATATGGGTCCTTTTCCGATTAAAAATTCACAACATTTTTCATGCATTTTTGTGAATTTTTCTAATTTATGGAAAACAGCAGTGAATGGAATAGTGAAGAGTTGTGCAATGCATTTTTGTCATTCTGGGATGTTTTTAATTAAAAATAGTGACGTGTATGGTTTAATAAAGATAGTATTTGTGTAATATATGGGTGATCTGGATGTGGTAAACTTGGCGATTTTTTGGCGAAATTTGGCGCCAACTCTGCTACAGCAACCCTCTATTTTTTTTTTCGGCCGCCATTTGTCTTCACAGTAAAAGACATGTTTCTTTTTTTTATTTACTCAACACTTTTTCCAACATCTCCTAGCGATTACACTATGCTGAAATTTTATGAACAAACTGCTTATCATGACAAATATAATGCAAATTGGGAAAAAGTGAACAATCCCAAACTCCTTGCGCGTTTTCACAATAGCACATACACATAAACCTTTACACGTCGACTTATTTTTACTAAAAAAACATCCAGAATGCACAAAAATGGCATGCACACATTAACTTATCCATCTACATGCTATTTTCTCATAAATACAAAAATTTGCACGAAAAGCAAAAAAAACTCTGTGAATCTGTGAAACAGGTCTTACTTCGTAAACTTCGTGAAGACAAAATAGCGGCGAAAAAAAAAAATAGAGAGTTGCTGTAGCAGAGTTTGTCACCAAATTTTCGCCAAGTTACCATAACCCAAAGATTAACCGGATTATGAATAAAATTATTATATTTATTTCTTATAGTGGACTGTCTTTTATGATGGCAAGATACAAAATTTCAATGACTTTATCAATGATTGCTGGAGAAAATCCTTTTTCAATGGCAAACCAACTCACAAAGTATATTACCTTACAACTGTCTATGGCAAACTAAGTTTGCTTTCTTTCCTAGTTTTAAATTACATATTAGTGTGTTTCTCTTTCTTTTTGAAGTTAACGAATACATTATCATTATTCTAAGAACACTTACACTGCATGAAAAATATGTTTTTACAATTAATAGAATTTTTTTTTTTTTTTAATCTGAATAAAAGCCATTGGTCTGATAATTACAGCTTTAGAAGGTACTTCTACAAATTCCTAGATAATAATAAAATCTGTTCTCTGGAATGCAAGAGTTCTAATATTAATATCAACCATATACAGGTCACAATAAAAAAAACATGAATTATGATATGATATGCATACAAATTAAACAATAAGGAAGTATTATTACCTTAGCTTCAAGAATACACATTGATGCTTCTAACCTCTGTATTCGAATCAGTAAATTTTCTAGCTTTTCATCACAAACAGAAGAGAAATGATTTAAAAATGAAGTGGTTCGAATCAGAAAATGATTAAGAAATGTTAGTGTTCGTTTCTGATGCAAAGGATCGACCTAAAAGAAAAATGAAATAACATATCAACTTAAATCAATTATAAGAGAGGGCGTGCAATACTAAATTCATGCACTTAACTTATACTAAACGACATTTCATACTTTTGAATAATCAACACCAGAACCCACGATAGGTAAACCATCCGAATCCATGTTTAAGGAACAATTTCAGGAAAACGAACAAAATAATAGTTTCTGTTTAAACTATTCGCGTACAACTTGCTGCAGTTGCAGAGCAGACTGCAGATTACATTTGTTGCCATTTTCAGTTACAGCAATGTTTTGACAATTGCCGGGCCACATTCACTCAAAACAGGATATCTTATAAATCCAATGGCATTGTTCCAATAACTTAAATTTAAGATCGCTAAGTTCATTAAAGAACTTAAAGTTTTAAAAATTAAGTAAATTTTAATCTTCAATTAAATAAATTAACAACAATTTTGTATGCTGTATGCTTTTCGAAATAATTGCACACAGGTATAGTACACAGGTTTGTCATCTTCAAGCAACAAAAATACCAACTACGTTAAATCCTAAATACGGAATTTTAATTAGAAAAATACAATGATCAATTATAATGAAAAGAAACGCCAATTTTAAATCAAAGTAAAAAAAAAACTGCAAAAGAAAAATATCAACAAACTACAAGATGAACGTTTTAAAACTTTAAAAAAAGTTAGCATTGGAATTACTATTACTAACTAAATTTGAAAGGCTTTGATGAATGTGGAAATCATAAGCTGACTGTAGATACTTTGTCACAATGTTGATATTATCTTCAATAATAATTAATTTAAACTTCTTCTTTTTGTTTTTGGCATCGAGAAAGTGGCAGTACTAAAATTTTCATATACTCGTGTGAAAATGTATGTAGAAAATAAACATGTAATATTTTTGCGATTTATATCTAAATGAGAATTAATGTTGCATCGAAAAGTATTTTTGAATGTATCTAGAAGACTTAATTTGTTATTAAGGACGTAAATAAATCATCGAAAAAAGATGGATTCACCGCCAACACTACAAGCAGTGTGCCAAGCTATTTATACCCTTTATCATAATCCTGATACTTCAGGAAAAGAAAAAGCTTCACGTTATTTAGGAGATCTGCAACGATCTGTGAGTATTAATTTAATAAATTTATGCACTTTATGAACATTTTATTAGTCTATTGTTTTAAAGTAATATCTCGTAACTCGTCGTCGAAATGTGTATGCAAATGAATTACTTTAGGTAATTCTATTTAGTTTATCGTTTTCAATAGCTTTTTGTGCTCTGTTAGTAATTAAAATTGTATATCAAGTTGGTATTAATAATTTGTAACATCTGTAAGGTGATTTAGTCATCTACGGCATTAATTTTCCCTTAACGGTAGAAGCTAATTCGGATCTGCTCTCTCATCCAGGCCCACTTATGATCATGATTATATTGGCGTATTAAACAAAAATATGCATTCTACTTTCAATGCAATTGTAATTTCTAAAAATGTTCTTTCTTATTCATCTGTTTGCGAGTTAAATGCTTTTAACTTACACTATTAGTAAAATAAAAGGTGCAAATTATGTGTTTATGTAGTCAGTTTAGTAATAAATAGCCTTTAGATGCCTCTTTCCAATTCGCAACCAAAAAGTCAAGGCTTCAGATTTTTTTTTTTTTTTTTTTTAATGTTAAAAATACAGTAGTTGAATTCAAATGATTTAAGTACATTTCCATTAGTTCACTGTCCTAATGACTGTTTTAAATTTAAAAAGAAAATATTTATTTATGTGTACTGCTATCCAATACGTTTTTGCATCAGTGTACTTCATACATGCATATAATAATACATTAAAAAGTGTACATGTAGTATGTATACATAATGAATTGCAGTGGAAAAAATTAACATTAATTATAACATAATATAAATGTAAGAAACTTGGAGAAAGTATAGTTTAAAAACCATTTACTGCATGTTTGTCCTTAAACAATACAGCAGGAAAATCAAGTAAAGTTATACTGAAAGTAAGACTGTGTAGTGTAAAATATAATATGACTGCAACATAAAGGTGCCAGATGCCCTAAATTACGCAGAAGTATACATTAATAGAAATGATTCTGTTTCACAGTATATCATGGAAATTTATTGTCATATTTTTTGCCTAGAACTTGTAACAAAAAAAAAAAAAAAAAAAAGAGAGAAAACTGAATTATTGGATAATTATGCTGCCAGATGTTGCAGTGATGAATTTGTATTTACAGTTGTTGCTGAATTATATTATCTTGTAAAGTCATTATTATTATTATTATTATTATTATTTTAAAGCAAGAGTATGTAAGAAATGAGGGCTCTAGTGTAGAATTGGGTGCCTCTTCGTTTGACGACAAATATTGTTCTGTTTTGGCGATGAAACCCCATTTCAGGTTACATTATAGTTTTAACTTTGTTTTAGCTTCCTGATTTTTTTAAATTGAAAATAGATCAATGTGTACATGAACAAAGGTAGTGCATAAGGACTAATTTGTGCAATTCTGTGGTGTTTTTTTTAAGTGAATAAAGATCGGTGTATATATGGACACCTAGTTCGTGAAATTCTTTGACTTCTTGTTTTGGTTTTGTGTACCGTCTTGAAATTGTGCCTTCCTGTTGTTAATCTTGGCATCAAAATAGAATCGCCAAAAAAACAAGGGGCTCATTATTGTAAACGGTTAGAGTATAGACAAAGGTACCCATTATATTATCGCAAAGTTGTTGTTTCATTTATTGGCAAGTTGTTTGTCTGTGTATACATCAACCTATTTTCCCTTAAAAATATCAGAGAATTGTACAAACTAGGCTTTGCACACTCGCTTCACTTTGTCCATGCACACATCGAACTATATTTTCTTAAAAAGTCAAAGGAGCAGACAACAAAAACATATATAATCTCAATAAACTACATTTTAAATCAAACAATGAAATAACATAAAAAAGGAAATTCATCTTTGCACTACACAAAGGAAATATCCACTTACCTTATTTATGACTTAACATGTCGTCAGTCAAACAAAATTCCTTAACAGCATCCAAAAACTTCTTAAAATTATTTGAACTAGAATCTGTATACCGGCGATGCCACATAAATTTGCAAAATAGGAGTAAAAAATATGCTCCGTAACGACATTCGACCATACGCATTTCCTTCCTACAAACAGGACACCCGATAATGGCTACTAAATAAACCTTCATTTACACACCAGTCAAGTAATGTTTTTTTCTCCTTTCTATCTAAATTGAACAGAAACTTCAAATTAATCTTCCCATATTCAGCCATTTTACCGTCTAAACCACATAACAAGAACATACCTGCCAACTTTTACGAATTTTTCGTAATTTTTACGAAAATGCATTTGTCTTTACGATTTTACGATTTTTTTCCTTTTTCAAGTGTTTTTAGTGATTTTTGGTCGAAATTTTAGAATTTTTCGCGAGTTCAGCGATTTTCGCCAATTGCATTGTGTTTTACCGACTACTTCGAATCCAGTAACCTGCGGTTTCTCCCAACTCGCCGCTTAACCAGCCAATCCAATGCACTGAAAGTTAAAAAAACCGTATTCTCAATAGTTTCGGCGTTCCTACAAAGCCAAATTTCCAACAATTAAAGAATCCTTCAAAGGAAATAACTATGCATTTTTGCAACGTGCGCGTGTGTGCCTTCATAAAATCATGGTGGAAGAAGCGACATTGTGAAGCATGTTAAGTCTAAAAATCATGAAGTTAATGCTTCGGCTTCGACAACGTCAAAGAAAGTGGGTGATTTTTTTTCAAATTCGGCTACGAATTTGGATTCCGATGTCATTTTGGCAGAATGTTTGTTTACTGCATTCCTCATCGAACACAACATGCCGCTAAGCGCTGCCGATCATGCCGGTCAACTTTTCAGATGGATGTTTCATCTTTTGACAAATTGAAAATTCATCTTTTGAAAAGATTCGTTTTTTTATTGATTAATTTTGTTAACAATTAAAGAAAATGAATGCCATAATGATGCTTTAGATGAACTACAGAACCAATTTTCTGCTGCACAGTTTGAAGACTTTGCCAGTTCTGGAGAAGATAGACAATGTCCTCGTTGGTACCTTAAAAAGAATAAAAAGAGCTCATGGAACACCAAAATATGATAGACTAGCAAGAGTTTTATGTGCTATTCTCGTAATTCCACACAGTAATGGAGGAGTGCGAGAGAGTCTTCAGTGTTGTAGAGAAAAACAAAACTATGTTTCGTTCTTCAATTTCACCAAAAACTCTAGAAAAATTTTAATTGCTAAATGTTATGAGGTGTGTATGTGTGTATTTAATTACGGCAAAGCCTCTAGGGCTATCTACCTAAGGGGAGGAATGCCTTCGTGGAGGACTTTCTAAGGGAAACTGGCTCGTATACACGTTACACATGGGGAAAACCACGAAAACACCGATGCACTAAATGTTATGAGGAAACTAATTGTTATGACAGGAATTTTCCAAAGAATTTTTGGCTAAAGCCAAAAACTGCACTCTAAATTCATTGCAATAATTTTTTTGTGTAACATTAAGTTCTTGTTTTATGTTTCCTAATAAATTTTTTAGTTACTACTTAACTGAGATTTACTAATGTAAGTACAATTTTCTTTTTTCTATTTGTATAAATTGTTATTTTTTCAATATCAAACGATGATATTAATTCTTCGTGTTCTTCTGAATTTTTATTTTTAGATGTTGGCAGGTATGCAAGCAATATACAGTCAAAAGTCGTTAATTCGCACACCCATAATCCGAAATGATCTATAATCCGGACCTCAAAGCTAAAAACTTTCTGCGCATGCGCATAGGCATTTACTCGTGCGCGTAAGACCTTTATGACTGCGCATATGCGTGTGCGCAAGCGCAGAATACGTTTTCGCGTGCGCGTTTAATGTATAACGGATGGTATATAAGCTAAAATTAACCAATTATCTATTTCAATTAATGTTGATGATTGCATTGTTCCTTAATCTTCGAATTGGATCCGGCTTATTATTTTTTGCAGACTTTAAGAGCAATTTTATAAAAGTAAACTTGAACTTTCGATTATGTCAAATAGAATTCCAATGCTGGAGCTCCCAAAGGATCTACAAAACAAAAGGTTTCGATGTCCATCAAACAAAAAGTGGAATTACTGAAAAAAATGGATAAAGACATGAAGAAAGTGACAAAGAGGTTAGTGAAAACGAAAAAATTTTGATTGACAAGTTAGTATTCTCGGCGCAGCAATTACAGGACTTGAACAGCGGAACTTTGTAACTGAACAAGAAATTATGTCTGTTTATAGAATTAAAGAGAAAGAATTAGCACATAAAATGAAGACACTTAAACAACTTACATTGAAAGAAATGTTTAATAAAGTAAAATAAATATTAAGCTTTTTTTTTTTGGTAAATTTTGATACCCTTTAGATCATAATTGTTCTTTATTTCATAAATTACGGTTTCATATTTTTAATTTTAGAATTTCTGCATGCCATCTTACAAGATTTAAACTGGTGATCTATAATCCGGAATAGCCGAAGTCCCGACGAGTCCAGATTAACGACTTTTGACTGTACTTCCTAACCAACATACACACCACAAGCCCTTACGAATTTACCGCAATCATGCAATCAATTACGTCGTAATAGGGTTTCCATACTATTCAACTAGTCTGGCTACCATAAATCAAACAACAACTTTGCGATAATACAAGGGGTACCCTTCTCTCTACTCTAACTGGAAATACTTACCAAATAATGACATCATGATGGAAATACTTACCAAATCATTAATTTCATGTTATTGTGTCCTTTCCTTCAGTCTGCATAATGGTAAAGAAGCAGACAACTTTACTGAACTTTTAGGGTAGACTTTAAGGTACCCCTTGTATTATGGCGAAGTTGTTGTTTGATTTATCGCCAAGTTGTTGTTTCATTTATGGTAGCCTGAGTAGTTGAATATTATGGAAATCCTATTGCGACGTAATAGGGTGCATGATTCTGGGAAATTTTGAATCAATGGATGTTTTGTAAGCGTTTTTGTGGTGCATGTTAAAATCGTTTAGATGGATTTGAATGAGTTTGTAGGAAGAAAGGTTCAGATGGTTACTATGTGAAGCGTTCGATCAGAAAGAGTACCTGGTTTGAAAAAAGTCATTTGAGTATGATTGATATTTGATTTTTACGTGGCTCTGGGTGTACGAAGCGAACTCGAAAATCATGGTAAGAAAATATTTGCTTTTGGTAGTGCTTAAATGTATAACATGTTTTTCCTTTTTTATGTTATTTTATTGTTTGGTTTAAAATGTATTTTATTGCGATTATATATTTTTTGTTTGCCTATATTGTAGAATTGGGTGCTCCTTTGACTTTTTAAGTGAAAATATATCAATATGTGCATTGACAAAGTAAAGGGAGTGTGCAATGCAAGTTTGTGCAATTCTGGGATTTTTTTTAAAGTGAAAATAGGTCGACGTGTACATGGATAAAATTAAAAGAGTGCTCAATGCCATTTTTGTGCAATTCAGAGGGGTTTTTTTAAGTGAAAATAAGCCGATGTGTACATAGATACCGAGTTTGTGCAATTGTTTATCTTGTTATTTTGGCTTTGTGTAACGGCGATTTTTGGCGCAAAAATTGCCACTTCGCAAGCCAAAATAACGAGTCAAAGAATTACACAAAATCAGTATCCATGTTTCGCCAAGGGGTACCCTAAACTATACTTTTACCGAACTTTTAATTTTATGGTTCACGTGGTTGTATTTCCTAAGTTTTGTTACTTCTTGAGATTGTTTAATGATGTGATGATGTCATTTTGTTTCTTTATCTGGTTTTTTTGTAGATAAAATGAAAATAGTCTTAATTTCAGTGCTTTTTAAAAAAGGATAAGAAAGAAATGCATTTATGATTTAACTGCTTGCATTGAAAAACATAAATGCATTTCATTGATGGTAATGCAGAACATAAAAATTTCACAAACGATGGAGGGAGTTGCTATTCCTTGGTTTATTGTAGAATCGTACAAAATTGTGACAAGAATAGTATATGCTGTATGAAAAAATAAAGGAAAGATCTTGAAATTTTACAGTAACAGTGATTCTAACATTGGAAATCTTTGCATGAGGTGAAATCTGAAAACTTTGATACTGTCTTTTATGAGTGGCTCTGACAACAGCAAAGTGATGGAGTACCAATTTCAGAACTGCTCCTGAAAGAAGAGGGAAAAGACATGCATGCTGATTTAAAAATAAAGGACACGTGTAATTTCAGCAGTAGTTGGCTGCAGTTATGTTCTACAAAAAGCAACTAGGAATGTCCAACAAAACAGTAGTGTATTGGAACAGTTATCTGTGGGAGATCTGCACTTTTGAAATGGCAGCAGCAGGAAAAAGGACATTGGGTGCATTATGGAGATCAACAAAAACATGTTCACGTAATGCAAAAATAATATAAGAATGATGCCTCCAGAGTGGATTTTTGGGGATATATGTTGTGAAACGAGTGAAACATTTCTTGTAATGGTCCCTGATCTTATTGCCACTATACTGATGAACAAGATTAAGAACAACATTAGAAAAGGAACAACCATTTTTTCCAACTGTTGGGAGGGGTATAAAAGAGAACTTGAACAATATGGGGATATCCATTGTAAAATAATTTTGTCAGTCTTGAAACTGATACGCACACACACTGAAATACAGAATGCGTATGAGAAAGTGCTAAATGGCAAAATTAAAAGCATCGTGGAACAGTTCACCGCCACTTCAAGTAATACCGGCAGAGTTTCTGTAGAGGAAAAGACATGCTGCAAAATATGTTCTATGTCATCCTAAATACAGGTGATAAATATTTTCCATCAGAAACTAAAATGTGACTATATTTGCTGCCAGTGGGGTGCATTTAATGTGAAAAAACCTTTTAGAACAACAAAGTTGTGTCACAGAGTAAGAGATTATTACTGTATATAATTTTTTAAAAAAACTTTGCTCTGGAGCACCCTAAAGTTTTAAAATAAATCTCTGTCAGAAACATGTTTGCTTCATATGTGTTTATTGTATATGACCTTATTTATTTTGCATTTTTAATCTAAATATTATGGTTTACCTTTTCTGTCCTGAAATCTGCAAAATTCTAAAATCCGCACTACCTCTGGTCACAAGCATTGCAGATTACTGGTCTACTTTATTTATGTCATAACCACCCTGTAAATATTTTATAGTCCTGCAGTAAAATTATTGTATCCTAATTGTGAATCATCATGAAAGTGTATATTGAATAAGGCTTAATCAATATGCAATAGTTCATGTCATTATTCATCAAGTTAAAAATTGGTAACAGAAAAATAATTATAATTTTTCAGGTTTATGCATGGAAAATTGCAGATGAATTACTTCTACAGAGAGGAGATCTTGAATCATGCTATTTTGCTGCCCAAACAATGAGGACAAAGGTATTTTGAAATTTCTTCGTGCTGTAGATTTTGCTTTATTTGTTTAGGCATTCATAACTTTTCTCTCCTCAAAAATGGCAACACATTTTCATACTGCTTTGTTATATTCTGCTAAAAATTTTTATATTGGCAGTAAAGACTGGTACATGCCCATTAATAGTGATTAAATTGAGATATTTATAGCTTTTTTTTTATCATCATAAATCTTGAATAGTGATAATGAGTTGGAAATTATTGTAGTAAACTCAGTTTTTATGTCAAAGATAAGAGGATATTATTTAACCCACCGAGCATCACGACCAGCTTTATCCAGTCATGAAATTTTTTTTAGTCATTTGTTATATATTAACTTATAATTTAAGATATTTTAGTGTCATCCTTTCTTTAATAATGTAAATGTCATCCTAATGAATGAAAGTTTATGAAAATATACACTAAAATAAGTAATTATATAAAGTTAGCTAACAAATGCTGTTTAAATACAGGTCTTCATGACAGATCCAAAACCTGTGCCACTACGAGGGTTAAGAGCAAAATTTTAAAATGTAAAGTTTTGATACTTTTTTCATTTATAACTAATTAATATTTATTTTATTATCATCTCAGAAAATTCTAGTCTTTTTCATAAATATTAGCATTAATAGTACATGGTTTTGGACTGGACTTGTAATTTTTTTTAAATTTCTTTCTAATATTTATTACAGCTAAACTGTTTTTTCTTTTTAAAATTCAAAGCACATTTTAATTAGCACACATTTGTTTATCATTCACAAAATTTATTTCATTGGAATGATATTGTTGCACTATGTGAAATATCTGTCTATCATATGATAAAATGGAAATTGTTTTCTGCTACTTGCAAGAAAAAGTTAAACATAAAAATGACATGTATGGAGTTTTATTCCATATAGCTTCATAAAATTTAACCTCGTACAGTTTTGTAACATACAGGGCATGAAACTTTATTCTGCAGTTTGTTAATAAGGTACGATATGTGTAGAAATAAATACTATTTAACGTTGAGTAGAGAATTGTTTGTTAATGTTAAGATAGAATTAATTTTTTTTTTTCTTAAATTAGTTTTAATTAATTTTAAGTAATAAATATGTGAAGTTATCAAACAAGAAATACTGTAATAAGAATCACATTCGTAATTTTTCTGTAATGAAAGTTGTATGAAAGTAGAGTGTTTTGATTCTGTTGTGTTTATTTAAATTTAAGTATTTCTGACATTATTTGTTATAATGAAAACACACCCTCTTTTTTGCTCTGTAATTGTGAATTTATTTCAGTATATTAATGATATATTTTTTTAAACAGATACAGTTTTCATTCCATGAACTACCAGTAGAATCCCATTCTTCATTACGTGATTCTTTATTGAATCATATAAGTCATGTTACCTCAGAAACTTCACCAGTCATTCTCACACAGGTAATATATTTTTTCCATAAATGCATAAAGGTACTGTAACAGTTATTTGTATTAACTTGCATACTATTAATATATTTCTCATATTGACAAGAAGGTATTTTATTTAATATTATGTGTTTGATCAGATATAAATGAAAGCATAACTTTTCATAAATTTTATTATTCTAGTATTGTTAATTTTTTGTTTGTTACCTGAAAAGAAAGGGGAAAAAAATCTGTTTAAATCCTTCTTGGTACTTTTCCGTTTCGCCGGCGCAAATCTCGCCAAGCAGACTTTATTGGCGACAACATACAGTATACACATGAAAAATATTAAAAAAAAGTGTTAGTTCTAAGAATTCTTTTTTTGAAGGCATAAACATTTTAATATCGCTTAAAATTTTATAAAAAGCCAATAAATAAAGACAATAAATTTGTAAAAAGACATTAATTTAAGAATTTACTATGCTTTCATGGTTCAACATCCTGATTCGAGTGTTCATATCACGTGACCCCAAGCGATCTCATCTCACGTAAACTACTCTACAAAAATCTAATGCTCTTAGTAATTATCTACATTAATTTCAAGTTAAATCTTAATTTGGAACACAAGTTTAAATGCAAGAAATATTTCAATTCGTATGAATAGCTTACTCAGAAATTTAAAACAGTGCTTTACTTCGCTAATGCATTCTCATTAGAATTCATGAATTCTAATGACCTTGACTTTACCTTTTCTATATTTTTCGGCTTCGGGTAAGCGCTGTGATTGCATCCTAATTGACTTAATTACCGAAATGGCCTTAGACATAAAACCGAACTATCTGATAAAAATTCTATGTAATTATATGCCAGTTTTGAAAGAAACAATCAGAAAAAGCTGCGACTTGTTTTGAAAATGAGGCGTAAAAGGTTACCAGCGAGAATATTCTGTTTGGCATCGGTTGTACCATTATTGGCGACTTTATCGCTTGTGCCGGCAAAACAGAAAAGTACCTCCTTCTTTAGTTTACTGTGAATATGAGTAATAAAACTTCAAAGAGTTTTGGATTCTGGACCAAGATATGTGAGGTGTATGTAAAATGCTTCTCTGTCATCTTCATTTATAAATCATAAGCAAAGCTACAAATTAAAAATAATTACAATGTTACAAGATAAGGAGTATAGTTGACTAAAGCAATAAAGTTTATACAGTGCTTAGTAATCGTAAATGCAGCCAATTTAAACTGTAATAAATTTTAAACATCAAATTTTAGCATTAATTTTCATTTAAAAATAGCTTAGCATACTGTGGGAGATAGCATGGTCCATTCTTTATAGGGAATATGAATTTTTATTTTGTTCTTGACAAAAAAGGACTATGATTTCTCTTCAAATGCGTTAAATGCTTATTTCATTGAAAATAATGCAAAAGAAAATTGAATTTTACAATTTATTGAGCATTAATAATGAATGATAAAACAGATTATCTTTTAAACTGTTAGTATATGTTTAATTAGTGTATTAACCGTTTGCGCTCAAGGCGTTTTTCTGTCGGGTGAACCAGCAACACGAGAGTAATCAGCCACTCCCGCTTATATCATGAGTTCCTTATTGCTAACTTAAAATAATTTTAGACACAATAAAACACTTTAAACTCGTATATTTTAACATTGTACATACTTTTTTAACTTAACGAAACATGTGTATTAAACATTACGTTCTAAAATTTTGCTTCGTATGATATTTTACAAAACAATCTCCAATATGCATCCTTGGCTTGTCGGGGCATGTGTAACAGTAGTATACAGTTTGTCGCCTTTTTGACGTTCTTTGGGAGCAAACCTTGCAATCTTTTTTTTTTTTTTTTTTTTTTTTTTTGCCCCATCAAAATAATATGCAGCTTCCCCTTTAGTTGGATCTCTTCAGAAATGCTATGTGAAGTAAAAGCTGTGCTGGGTTGTTTTTGTCGAAAGTCTCCTCTCAGTTGATCCACTAAAATTTTCAAATATTGTAGGTAACTAAGCGGCCGTTCGTTTCTCTGCTTCTTTACTGATTTATAAAGAATGTATGAATTGATGGAGCAGATCTCCAAACCCCCAAAAAAATAGTTTTCGCCACTATTTTACGGATTTTCTTAAGAAACAATATGTCGAAGCCAGTTGGTCAGCTCAATCAACACCACTCATAAATTTGATGTAATTTACAATAACATTGGGCTTTTTTATAACGACTTCAATACTGCCTCGTAGAGTTTTTCTTACAGGAGTTATTCCCACATAATTCCAAGTAGTCAAAGCCGTCACAATCCTCTTGTCCTTCCATGCAAGAACCAAAATATTACCTTAACAATATGCACATGTGGTTCAATTCTCAAATTTTGGCTTTCGTATTTCACATGACAGGTGCTTTCTGTTTGTCATGATCGTCCCAGTTAAGTGGCACTTTTGTTTGCATAATTCTTCTGCCAATATGTAACTCATATAATAACGGTCCGTGAACATGTGGTGTCCCTGAACACCGGGAATTTTATCCTGTATCATTTTGTATAGATGTAGCGGTATTCTGGTTGATACCGGTAGATCGGGTCTTATCAAAGTCTCTGTTGTTAGAGATCCATAATACGGCAGAATAGCACAAATGAAGCCGGTATTTGAATCTGCGAGCGTATAAACCCGAATACCCCATTTTGTAGGTTTCATTGGATTGTACGTAATGAATGATATGCGGCCTTTGAATTTGACAGTCGACTCATCCACACAAATCTGCTCTTCGGGTACAAAATAATTCGAGAAAGTTTCATTTATATACTCAAGGAAACCAAATACTAACTGCAAACGGGTTCTAGGGTTTGTGTTTTCTGAGGGTATTGTCTTCGAGATGAAGTCTCCAAAATATTTGACAAAATCGGTCTCTCGTAAACGTGTCTGAGTAAAACGGAATATAACTAGTATAATTTTTCGACCAGTATTCTTGTATGCTAGTGGCATTGTCCCCATATTTATGATTGCCCCAATAAACGCCCAAAATTCGGTAACTGTTACATCGTACCATAATCGTCATATAGAACGGGATGATAAGGTCTTCCCTTCCACCTTCCTTGCAGCGTTATTGTTAGTTTCCTGCACTATGTCAGTAACTAATTCCTCGATAAAAAATAATTTGAAAAAATCTATTGGTTCTTTTATGTGTGCAAATATGTGCGGTCCTACTTGTCTTTCACCGGATACAAATGGTATTCTTCTGGGGATTTCTTCGGATTCTGTGCACACTGCCCATTCTGAAGGTTCAGTCTCTTCTGTACAATTACTTTGGCTTCCAGATTCACTATTGATTATTCGGATTTTTCATCTTCTTGCTCCTCTTTAACATCGTCACTATCTTTATCACTTCCGTCTTCGTTCTCATGGGCAAGCTGTTTATGTAGTGATGTAATTTCGTTCGTTATTGCCGAAAAATTAAACTCAGCTTCGCTAGAAGTAACTTTTTCGTCGTGTTCCATACTTATTGGGCTCAGTAACTTTGGAAGAAATACTGTGATCGGCCAGAAGGTTGGGTTCGAACTGATGTCGAAGACAGAGTCCTACCCGCGGTCGCAAGTATTTTTGAGATAAGACATTTAATCGCATAAGCATTGCAAAGACAACCTTTATTTGAGATAAGACATCCTTATAGCTATTCAGACACCTCATAATATGATCTACAAAAGGCCAAGTAGATCTCTCAATCTATATTCCTTAGGTCAAACACAAGTAAACACATCGATTGGAATGGTGCCTCTCAGGCACCGCTCGAGTTATCGCATCACATGCAGTGGTGACTGAGAGGCACCGCTCCAATGCAAAGGGTTAAATAGATAGAATCCTATTTTCTAGATCAGGGATTCTCAAAGTGTGTGCCGTGAAGTAAGACCACGGCCACCTCATGATGCCTCTGGCCTCACTTTGTGGTGAGACAAGACTTGCGTTGAAAGCTTGCCCATATTTTTCATTAATTTTTATTTCTGTTTTCTAAAGTAATAGTTTAAGTTACTCATAATATTTATATTTCAATTATTCTTCTAATTCCTTTGAAATTATATTTTAAATATTTTTATTTCTACTTTTAATCTAAAGTAAGTTTTGTTATCAGTTTCATTTACTAAAGCACCATTTTATTCTCTCATTTAGTTTTTTCACTTTGCAATTATTCTATATTATTGCATCTGGTTCGTACTTGATTATTCTCATCAATTTTTTGCACATGTTACTTCCTGTCAAACGGTTGCCATGTTAGACTTCTCAAGGTTGACATCTATTGACATTTCTTTTTCTGTTCATGACCATCAGTATCAAACAAATGAAGGTTAGGGAAGATCGTTCGGTCTCATATGTCTCTGAAAAAAGTCATGATCTCGACAAAATATTGCTAGAAATCAACGAGCCCTTACTATTTGTCACAAAATGGAAATATTTTCATTATACAAGTAAGCCAGTCGTAGTTATAGTTCAAGTGCCAAAGCATCGACAACTGATGGAATGAAAAAAAAATGGGGAAATATCGTAAATACAAGGAAAGCTACTTTGATAGAAATGAACAACAATGAAAGACCGCATTGTGTTATCTGTTTAAAAATCCTTGCACCTGAAAGTATGTTCCAAATAAGGTAATATGACATTTCGAGACCGTTCACTCTAACTTGGTCAACAAATCTTGGGATTTTTTTAGTAGAACATTGCAAGATTTACAGAAAGCAATGTGTTCACTGATGAATTGATAAAAGAAAATGAATTCAGACTGCAATTAGATGAGGCGTCTGGCAGCAAAGATGCAAATTTTACATGTTCATTAATCTTATGTGTATCTTATGTATGTGTGCTGGATGGTAATATTATTGTTGAAAATCTTCTGTTCTATAAGAACATCATCGAAAGTGCAAAGGCACAAGGCTTGTTTCAAATGCTTGAAAGTTTATAATAGAAAATTGGATGAGATAGATTGAAATTAAGTGCATCAGTCAGTGGCATAACTAGGGTGAGGCAAGGGAGGACATCTGTTCCCAG